TTTTTTTTTTATTTTTAGTAGAGACGGGGTTACACCATATTGGCCAGGTTGGTCTCAAACTCCTGACCTCAGGTGATCAGGCCTGCCTTTGACCTCCCAAAGTACTAGGATTACAGGTGTGAGCCACTGCACCTGGACTTTCACCCTCTGAATAATAATAAAAAAAAGACACATCTACAAACTAGAAAGCATGTAAAAGAAACAACACAATGGGTTAAACTAGTTATGGTATATCTAATTTCATAAACCACAAAGGCTTAGTCTGTAATGTTCTCTCTTAGCCAAAGCTGAGAATAATAAACTTTACTATTTTTGTTGCTAATACCTCCATTTTCATAAATCTTCTGTCTTCAATCCCATTTTCTATTCTTCCCATTATTTCATAAGTTGAATCAACTACTTAAGGAGGATATAGAAAAAGTAGAAAAAAATACCAAGAAAACTAGCAGTTTGGTCAATAATTTCCAGGAAAGAAGAATATATTAAAATTGAAGGGAAGCAAACAGAACACAAAGGACTTACCTTTAATTTGTACCTTGACAATCAAAATAGCATGGGACAAACAGTCAACATAAAGCTAGAGTTCACCAGTTTTTGAATAATTAATTTCTGTTGCTTTGTTCTATCTATACTAGTTTTCCAGCAAGATTCCCAATGGTTAAGTCCTAGTCAAGTAAAACAAAATCTCAGGAGACAGATTCACCTTTTAGCATTATCACTAGCTTTCTAAAGAGAGATGACAGAGCAAACGGTAAGATCAAATAGTATCACTTCCAAGACTGAATTGGTACCAACTCAAATGACATTAGTTTTGAAGTATAACATTTCCCTGTAGAAACAGCTAGCATTCTCCTACCGATAACTTTTGCTCGGTACCAAATTCCATCTTCAAATTTAGCTACACAGGCTTGATCTTGAACTGGACAGAGGATTTCCAGATTTTCTCCATCTTCATTTTTATAGAAATCCTCGATTGTCTTCAATAGAGGTAAAAAATCCACGGCCTCTAGCTAGCAAATAAAGGGATAAAGCACTATCATTTCACAGAAACTTAAAATGTAAGTGTTGAATGAATTACAAGCACTGTCATTAAAATTATGAAACATTAAAACCTGACTTGAATATAAATCAACTGTGTTACATAATTTATTTTACAAAATTTTGTTGCAGAACCAGTATAGAAAATTTTTATTGACATAAAAATAAAGTCACATATATTCTACCAGATAGTGTATATTCTCAAGATTTTTCTATACACATACACACACTCCCTGTGTATTTGTTTTTACCAAAACTAGACTTTACCATACAATCACTTACATTTTTCTATCATTTCTCATCTTTTCTATTTCACTAACTGTTCCTACTAGTATATCTAGATCACATTTAGTTTGCCTTAATTGATCCAAATCCATATCCAAACCAAGATTATATATTGCTTCTGATTGTTATCTCCGTAACTCTTTTATAATCTAGTACAATCCTCTACATTTTTTTTGTTTTTTTGACAGAGTTTCACTCTTGTTGCCCAGGCTGGAGTGCAATGGTATGATCTAGGCTCACTGCAACCTCCTCCTCCCGGGTTCAAGCAATTATCCTGCCTCAGCCTCCCAAGTAGCTGGGATTACAGGCATGCGCCACTAAGCCTGGCTAATTTTGTATTTTTAGTAGATATAGGGTTTCTCCATGTTGGTCAAGCTGGTCTTGAACTCCCAACCTCAGGTGATCTGCCCACTTCAGCCTCCCAGAGTGCTGAGATTACAGGTGTGAGCCACTGTGCCCAGCCCAGTCCTCTACTTTTAATGAACATGTCTTATTGAAGATAACCAGCTTATTTCTCTGCAGAATGCCCCACATCTTATGGATTCATGTGGTTATATCCTTATGCTGTTATTTAGCTTATTTCTCCATAGAGTAAGGTCTAGCTGCTGCCGTTTCCAAAGGCTGAGAGTTATTACTAAGGGTTTGATGGATCCAAGGCAAATCTTTTTGGTAGGCTGTCATAGGTGTTTTTTTCCTACCCAGGTTGCAACACTTCAAGCTCTAGTACTTAATGACTATCAATATGATAAATTCATCGATTGATTGTGTAGTGATGATCCTGACCCCTTCTCAATGTGCAGTTCTGTTTATGCCCTTGTAGTAACCAAGTCTTCAGAATTTATGTGGTGTTACTTTGGCATTACATGAATATCCAGTTTCTAATCAGCCATCAATCTTAATGTGAACTGATAATGCTTCCATAAATCAATAATAATTCAGTAGGGTTTATGTAATGATTGCATTCTTTAGTAACACAGTGCTTTCTCTTATTAAATGGTGCCATCTGGTATAATTTTAAAAAATAGTTTCTAAAGTTTCCTATGCTACTAAAGAAAAAGAATCAAGGATTATACTTTATTTCTCCGAATACCAATTCTTTTTTTTTTTTTTTTTTTTTGACGGAGTTTCACTCATGTTACCCAGGTTGGAGTGCAATGGCGCAATCTCGGCTCACCGCAACCTCCGCCTCCTGGGTTCAGGCAATTCTCCTGCCTCAGCCTCCTGAGTA